ATTTCAGAAATCCTTCCCTCAGTCTTTGTCCTGGGAGTTTTGTAATTGCTCAGCTCCCCTGCACATCAAGAAAGGCCATTCTTGAGCTTGGAAGAAGTGGTACAGTTAGTTTCAGTTAGCTAAACCTCAGGCCAGGGCCTAGTCAGCAGCCTGCAGCCTTAACACCTGCTAGGTAGAATGGTTGGGAGGTAGGTGGGGGTAAAGAAAACATGAGACTTAAAGGCCTCCAGTTTTGTGTTTTGAGGTCCTCCAGTCTGAGCGCTGGAGTATTGTAGCTATAATTATAGAAGACTGCTTTTTATTTCATTTTTTTAAAGATATTGCTCTGATTATTTTGAAAAGGCAGAGATAGCTGAAGAACAGGAGTAATTTTTGAATGGAAAGAATTTTGAAAGTATAACTTGTTTCACCAGCTATACTGGTCACTTATGGCTGTGCACTTCCTTCAGTGTGGACAGTTAGGACAGGCTAATATAACTTCCTTCTCTCCTGGTCTTCATTAACACAATAATTATTTTTTTTCAAATGAATGGAAATAACAAGAGTGACTTCTATCTTTCTTATAACCTATATAAATTGTTCACTAGCTGCCTAGTCTTGCACAAATACCAAAGTGAATTTTCAGTCATAATGTCATCAACTGATAGAAAAAAAATTCCTCTTTTGTCCAAACAGGCACAAACTGGTGACATAGCTAAGTTGCAGAATGACAAGTGGAAAAACATTAAAGAGGAAGGTTTTCATTACCCATCACTACTATACCTAAAGCTGGTTTATTTAACTTACAGTCTTACCTTAAAGCCCAATGTTGGCATCCATTCGCTGAATCTGCAAACCAGCAGAAAAGATCACTTACTAGAAGGAATCAGAACTGAACTACTACCACGCACTGGAAATGAGCCACTGACATGTGGACTAAGCGGGCGTTGCGACAAGGCTGCTCCCGGTCTATGCTGAGAGCTATAGTCCGCGAATATCCTAGGGACCATTCACAGGGTTGCGAGCGGCCCAGGACGCGGCTGGGGATTGGTGTGTTCTGGCAGTTGCAGTTCTGACTGGACCACAGTGCTTGCCGGGAACTGTAGTCTAATGAGGTAGTAGTAACATGGCTGACTCACGGGCTGTTACTGTGTCTCCTCTCTTTGATTCCCTCCCCCTACTCCGGACAACTAAGAGGGTGAGGCTTCCGGGGTTGGATTTTTTTCCGGCTCAAAATTCCCCGTATGTGGAGAGTAGTTTGAAATATTCCAAATTTTCCAGCCTCATCTGCTTTTATTTGTGATTAGACTCCCTTGGTATACCCTTGTTCATTGCTTGCCTTGTCTAGGACTGTTGATGGACCCTGTTACTGGCACCTGGATTTGCCTGCTGTGTTCAGACCATGCAGGACTATGCCCTGTTGGTGAAGGCACTGCCTGTGCTGGGGTCACCATCATCTTCTGGATTGCATTCTCTTAGAGAGCAGCTAGTCCTTGCTGTTCCCTGACAACTAGCTCAGTCCTTCTTGAGCCCTGAACTCAGCATGGCAGGATCTGGCCCTTGGCTGTGCAGGGCCTTGCCCCCATGGCTCAGCCTGAGCAACTGGCTTTGCCCTGGACTCTGATCTCCCTACAGTGCCAACTCCCATCACAGCCCCAGGCTGTTGAGTGAAAACCTATCTTTCCCCTCTAATGCCACCTGGCCTCCAGGGCTTCATCCAGGGCAGCCTGGGCCCTTTCCCCCTGCCACCCCCCAGCTTCTCTGGGGCTTCATCTGGGGTGGTCCAGGCCTTTTCCCCACCTCCAGAGCTCCATCTGGGGGGGCCTGGGTCCTTCCCCCCACCTAGCTTCAAGTCTCCTGCATCATGTCCCTGCCATGATCCTGACCTGGTTCCAAGCCACCCATGCCATGTCCCTTTCCCAATTCCATGTCCCTGCCCTGGCTCTGTGTCCCCTGAAATAGCCCCATGACAAGCCCACAGCAACTACATCACTTCACAGCAAGTCCCCTCTGAACCCAGATCTTTGTAAGGTTTGAGGATGCACCTTGCTGGGAGGGGAGACTGCTGTCAGGACTGCTGTGTTCAGACCCTGTGGGATTGCACTCCATTGGTGAGAGTGGTGTCTGTCCTGGGGTCACCCTCAGCTCCTGGCTTGCCTTCCCTTAGGGAGCCGCTAGTCCTTGCTGCACCCTGACAAGGCCTCTGCTCTTCCAGGGTAGTTGTTCCAGTCAGTGCTGGGGACCATGCCTTGTGGCACATCACCACCATTATTGAACAGTCATACACCACCTTCAGCAGTTTCCAGGCCCCTTTCTATGCACCTGTATCTGTTGACTGCTTCTGGGAGCTGTGCACTTAGCCTGGCAGTTTTATAGGCCTCTCCCTAGTACTTGCTGAAAGGGTGCTTGAACCTCCCTAATCAGTAGTCAGCTGGAGACAAAAGCTCAGTGCACCTTTTGATCAGGAATAGCTGACAGAGCTCTTTAGAGACTGCTAGAGCTTGCTAGATGTAAAAGTCTCTTGTAGATATCCTTTCCCAGCAGCATCAAGCACCTTGAAGTTCCTACTCCATTGGAAGTATCTGCCCTCCCCCATCCTTTTGTGAACTGCTCTCCTATGTCCATTTCTGGCCATGCTGGAAATGTTGCTTTCCTGGGATTCTTCTGGAAAGTGCTTTCATGTTCAGGTGGAGGAGAATGCTGTTCCCTCCATGCTGCAGGGTTGTCATAAGCCCCTCAGGTTGTGGCATGTGCATATGGGGTTATGTGTGACTTTGGAGGGAGCTTTTTCTAGGTAGTTTATGGAAGAAGCCAAGAAATCGTGCATTGTTCCTGCCAGTGTTGGTCACTCAAGGGGAAAACAACCATACATTAGCCAGGGAATCCCAGAGCATCTGTCATGTAGAGATAAAAGCAATGTCAAGAGCCTGAATGGGGAATCCATCCCTCTATCAACTGCCCATAGAGAATGTGCTGCATTCACTCTCTTATTGGGCCAGTGGGAGCTCTCTGCTGGCTACTGGTGACAGCAACATGGTGCTTTCAAGCTTCTGACCTTGCAACTGCATAGCTCAAACTAGGGATGTTGTACAAGATACATGTATGTGATAACCTTTCATGCTAAGAACATCCACACCCAGAAGCCTAGGACCAAGGCAAGGGCAGATATCCTATGCAGACATCTATGGAGCACAGACTGCTCTAGGCCAATGGTAGTGACATCTCTAGTGTAATCTTACTGTTTTTTCAGCCATAAAAAAACAGTCTCTATCTTACTCTGATTAAAATCAAGAGTTACCTCAGGGACTGGCCAGCTCTGGGAGATAGATCAGGCCCTTTGCTAAGTCAAATAGTGGCAGTAAAGACATTTACACACACACACACAAAGAAAAGACTGTCTGTGGCCATGTAGTGATCCTAACCAGAAGACTATTGTACATCGAGGAGTTAGTGATCCACATAACAGTTGACCCAAGTAGGCACAGGCCTGTGCTGTGCTATGCTGCGCTATGCTGCATGAATAGCTTGGCCTTCGGGCCTGTACTGTGCTGCATGTATTCCTTGGCCACAAGATAAACTTAGCTGGCTAATTGTAATGAAGGAGCCTGTAGGCAGCTCCCCCTTGGCACCACTGATTGCACCACCTGCGTGTCCTTGTCTTTATCTTAAAGTGAAGCGGCATGTTCTCATGTGAGCATCCTTTTGCTTGACAGTAGAACTGATGAATAGAATTGTTTTCTTCTAAGAAAATCCTATAAGAGCTCTAAAGACCATATGATGATGAATCTCATCATGGATGGGATCGGCACAGCGTGCTGTGTCCTGATTGGAGGTCTGTCCAATGCTGCACAACTCAGGGTTCCCAGCATCTGAAGGGATGCAAGATTCTCTATCCTCTTTTTCCTTCTTGTGTTAACTCCAATAAGTGATATTTTAATTGATACTTTATGGAGTCTGAGTGCCTTTCTTAGTGGGATTATAACAAACACTTGCTCTGGTGTATTACAGTCTGGATATTAGATGAATCTAAAGAAGCCCCCCTTCCCAAGGCTGTATGTGTGACTGGATGGGAAATGAGGAAGTAAATGCAAGGCTGAGTGGGGGAGAGTAAGAGAAGAGGGAGGTGGGGACAAGACCAGAACGGAAGTCAATAAACAATGGATGATGAGGGAATGGTGTGAGAAGAGGGCCTGTCTGTCTTAGGGAGTAGAGGCTTGCCCATGTGAGTGTTTATCTACCTCAGCCTGAAAGGGGTTAAGGCAGAAAAACAACCACAAGACCCAAAATCCATGAAGACAGAAAGGAAGACTTATTCCTTCATGACTTTGTGAAGAATCCTGAATCCCGGATACACGGCATTGAAAACTTGGCCTAAAAATGGGCCAGGGAGCTAGAGACATACCAGTTGCATGGAGTGGACTACCCTTTTTGCCCCAAATGCCATTTTCCTATTAAAAGTGCCCTCAGTATATGGTTCAGCCTGTTTCTGGCCTGTCACTCAGAGCCATGTTTGACTGTCTTTCATTTGCATAAAGCAGTTCAGTGGGGTCTGAGCAAATTCAGTCAGGAGAAGACAAAAGCAAAACACTTTCTGAGCTGTCAGAAAGTGAGCTGGGTAACAGGAAGGAAAAATAAAGCATGGAAAAGACCTTCAGACTGAAGAGTAAGGCATAAGGGGCTGCAGGATTCAGTCCATGCAGAAATAAGGCTAAGCTACACCACTCCAGCTAGGTAAAACTCATGGTTCAACTGCACCATGACTCTCAGAGATTCCTGCCTGGATGGACAGCTGGTCCATGCACTTCAGTGGCAAACCAGTAGGGCACCACACTGACTTCTATGGGACCACCATACAAATGGGACAGCATACAGGCAGGGAGGGCAGGGGTGCATGTGAACTGTCCTTAGCATATAAATATTAAGGAACAATGTTTCTAAAAGTGACTGCATTTCCCTGTATTGTAGGCTAAAAGTAGTGCAGGAAGAGGACAGGCCAAGAGTGTTTGGTTTTATTGCTCACACAAAAATAGCTGATCTAAATCACTCTACAGCACTTAGAGTTTGACAGGCAGAAGACAAAACAAAAAAATTAAAATAAAACTGGTGTGTAGTATTCATTATCCTGATTGTTTTCCAGACAAATGTTCAAAGCCTCTGGTATTTCTGCTTCTGCTGGTCTCAGTGAATCCTCTTCATCTGTAAAACAGTCATAACATCAAATCATTTCACACTGGACAGCTCTTGTGCCCCCCCCCCCAGCTGTGCCATGCCAAAGCCCCTGATGCTGGACTCCTGAGATGTGAAGTTCTGGCTTCCTTTCTGGTTTTTAAAGGGCATTTCAGTCCTCTGGGTTATGGGGAGAAGTTGGAGAGGGAGAAGCCCAATGGGTTCAGTGGCAGAAGACAAATAATCACAACCCTGATGATTGTGATTTTTTTAAGGTCTCATGATTTGGAGACCAGATTTATGTGATATGCCTAGGCCAGCATCTGGCCCCAAGTTGCAAAATGGTTGCTTGCCATGGGACAAAGCTGATACAAACCTTGTAGCAAGAGTTATAAGCCCCCTCCCCTTCCCTCCCACACGTGCACATGTACTGGAAAAGCAGAGTACTTGCAGAGCCCTGGCTCATAACCCCTATTAGAGGTTCCTGAAACACAGATCCTAAGAGGTTTTCCCAGCTCTGAAGAGATGCACGTGCCCAGTTCCCACTGACTGCAAGAGGAAATGGACTCTTTTCCCCTCAAGCCAGCTCTGGGAATCTCAGCCTCCACATGGCTTCCTGTGCCTTGAACAAAGAAGGCCAGATTGGAAGAGGATAGTGGTGAAAGCAGAATTCATTACATTCACCATGAAGCACTGTCACAACCAGGAGTTGACATGTGCTCTAGCAGGCACTTCCCAGGGCACATGCAGAGAAGTGCAAGTTCTGCCAGCCCATTATCAGTGAATGGATTACTCTTGAGTCCAAATGGCAACTTGCCATCCAAACAGGTTTGGTTCCCATCATGGCTCAGCCTGA